CTGCTCAGGGGGGTTTGTGCAATGCTTTCCTGCCTCTCCATGGCATTGCCAGGATGGAACTCCTGCTGCCCCAACAGCTGCCTGTGGGAGTGGTTGCTGGCATGGACTCCAGCACTCTGCATAACCCTGAGCAGAACCTGGAGGCAGGACAGCAGCACCCCATCCCCACCCTGGGCACTGGTACATCCACAGTGACAGCAGGATGTTCAGCCCCTCTGCTTTCAGTGCTAGTGAAGTCCTGCATTTCCCTGGATACCCAGGGGATGCCCAAGGTTTTCAGGGTACTCTTGGGATGACCAGAGCCAGTCTTGGCTCTTATACTGATGTGTTATATGTCTGCCTGACTTAGTTGTGCAAAACTCCACAAATCTTTCTTGATCTGTAGGGTCTAGATGGCCCCACTGGAGAGAAGGGAGAACAAGGTGACCAAGGGATGCCAGGACCATCAGGATTGCCAGGGCCCATTGGACTTCCAGGACTGACAGTAAGAATGGGGAAGAGAAGGCTGCTCTTTCCTTGGTAAAGAGAAAATAGCACAGAGCAGCACACCAGGGCTCATTTCCTAAATGTGCCCTGGGAAACTCAGAGCCCTCGCCCTTTGTCAGGGGTCACAGGATGTCCCTCAGACTCCAGCAGCACCCAGGGAGTGTCAAACACAGGGTCTGTTCCCACTTCTCCTGGGAGAAGTGCTGTATATATATATTTATATATAAATATATGTGCTGGGCCTGCACAGGCAGCTCCAGTGGAGCTCCAGAGCACAGCCAGTGCTGTGGGCTCTGTGCAGGGAGAAAAGGGGGAGCACAGAGACAAAGGGAATCCAAGACAGCAAGGATGTGGCATTTTTGGGGTTCCTAGGACAGAGGAGGAATTGATGAATTTGACTCTGTGTTTTTAGAAGGTTAATTATTATTTATGTACTTATCCCTGCAGCAAGGAGTCCCACAGGCTATTGACACGTGTGGGGCCAGACTGCTTCTTTTATGTCCTTTGCTTTTTGTCCCTGTGTGGTATTTTTGGGATCCCCCATCGTGAGGAGGAAAAATATATCTGACTTTATGTTTTTAGAAGGCTATTTTATTATTTTATGATCTATATTATATTAAAGAATGCTATACTAAACTCTGTTAAGGAATACAGAAAGGATAGAGACAGAAGGCTAAAAAGATAATAATGAAAACTAGTTCTCTTCTCAGAGTCCTGACACAGCCTGACTGTGATTGTTTATCCAACATGTAAATTGTTTTAACTTGATGACCGATCTCCAGACCACATTCCAAAGCAGCAAAACTCAGGAGAAGCAAATGAGATCATTATTGTTTTCTTTTTTTCCCTGAGGCTTCTCAGCCTCCCAGGAGAAGAATCCTGGGGAAGGGGATTTTTCAGAAAACATGACACTGACAATCCTATGCCTCTTTGTAGGAATGGTGGTAGAGTAGTGGAAGTGGACCTTTCTTTGGGAAAAGCCTCACTGCTTCCCTGCTCTTAAAGATTGGCCACTTTTGCATAACCCTCCCCTGAATGCTGCTGCTGCTTCCCAGCCACTCAGTCCTGGATTGCTGCTGCTTCCTAACACAGTCCTTGGGGAGAATCCAGGTTCCCCAGGCTGGCAGGGGAGCTCTGCTGCACCCTGTCCCCCTCTGAGCAGCCCCACTTGCCCATTGATGTGACTGTTCTTGCTTTGCTTTCCAGGTATCTGGGCCCCCTGGCCCCCAGGGCCCTCCAGGACCTCCAGTAAGTTTGAGTCGTTCACCTGAGGAGCAGGGGAATGGGATTAGAGCAGGCAGTGGCTGGGGAGGGTTCTGTGTGGGGACAGCCAGAACCACTCCACTGAAATGGGAACATGCTTGGGATCACTTCCAAAGCCGCCCCCAGGGTAGGTCAGGGCTGGGAGGGCAAAGAAAGAAGGGTTTGTTAGCTGGAGATGAAAGGGAAAACAGCAGAGAGATGGGATGGATGGGATTAAAGGGATCAACTGCAGAAATTGTCTTGGCAGCACAGCTGGCCCCCAGCCAGGCTGTGCTTGGCAAGAGGCTCTGGGTGGAGATGGAGCAGGACATGAAGTGCCCTTACACAAATAAAGAGGCTTTGGGCTGGGGGCTCCTGCCCCACAGAGCAAAACCTCTGCACTGCATACTCCACTGGGGTTCCTGGAGTTTGAAAACATCCTGAAACATTACTGACATCTTGTCTCTCCTCCCAAATCCAGGGTCTTCAGGGTGTCCCAGGACCCAAGGTAAGGACACAAGCTATTACAGACTGTGGTTGTCCCAGCTGCTAGAATTCCCTTCAGTAACATCTTTGTAGTTCAGGTGGTCGTTTTCTTCCATCTTGGTAAGAGGATAAATCCTTCTGGATATTTTCTTGAAAGAAATGGATGAGCAGCTCTCATAGGACCCAGAAAAAATGGTCATTCCCTCCAGTTTTCACCCAGAGGAGTGGGAATTCACTGGTCTGTGGAATTGTGCCCATGAGAACACATTTGAAATCTTGTCTGGAGGGTGGAGGTCTGTACAGTGGGATGGGTAGTTTGCCACACAGTCCTAAGGAACTCTAGCTAACAATTAGTCCTAAAATTACCCTGTGCATCCTGCTGTAAAGCACTTGAGAACTTCACCATCCTTGGTGGTGAGAATCTTTCTGATCTCCATCCACATGCTCAGCCTGCACCATTGGCTTGCTCACTGTAAAACTGTTTCCTACTCAAAAAACAGGGGAGTGGAAATGTTCAAGGAGAGCTGCATATTTCTGGTGACGTTCTGGGCAAAGATTGAAAAATGTGCAAAGTATCTTAATTTTAATTATTCTTAGTATTTGGCCACCAGCATTGTTTGGGCACTAAAAGGGATGGGTGTGTTTTAAAAAGCCTTGTGAACAGCAGTAAGGAGGAGAAAAGTTTTGGGTACATTTTGAATTTAAGTACAATGAGTATTATGTTTAATATTGCTTTATAGTTTATAATAGAGAATTTTAAATATACAGCTGGGAAAAAATGCTGAAATTGTTTTTTTTCTGAAATGTTGAAACTGATGCCTTAGAATTTAGAAAAGTCTCTCCAAAAATTATTTCTGTGTGATTTTTCTTCAAGGCTTGTAGACACCTGTCATTCACTTCCAGTGGATCCACATCTTAAAATGTACACCCACTGTATCAGATAACTTCTGGTTATTTATATTTATATATAAATATATATACAGCAACAACAGCAGGGAGAGCAGCACCAGAGTGAGCTCAGCTCTGCTGTAAACATCTTTATCTCAGGGCCTGAGTCTCCTCTCATTGCCTCTGAGTTAAAGCAGTGCTCACACAGGGGTAATTTGAATGACAGTGCTTTTCTTCAGATTAGGCTGGGATTGGGCTGAAGCATTGCTCTGCTGCCTCCTGTGTTCCCAGGGCTCCTGAGGGGAGGAATGTTTGTTATATAAAAGTGCTGTTCTGGGGGTTTATTTTCTGCTCCATCCTTCCTTTAGGGGGAAGCAGGGATTGATGGAGTGAAAGGAGAGAAGGGTGCCCAGGGTGAAAAAGGAGACCGAGGGCCGCTGGGATTACCCGTGAGTATCCAGGAAGCAAGCAGCACTTTGGGAGCCAAACCAAAGGCAGCTGTAAAAGGATCCCTCAATAGCACAGGCACGTGGGGATTTGCTGTGTGCAGTCAGAGAAAGAGATGGTCTATAAATAACTGTGCCTTTGCTTTTTAAACCCAAAGTCTCGGTTTCTGTGCTGAGCCTTCAGCTTCTAGATGTGCTGAACAGATGAGTGATCACTTTATTTCCTCCTGCTTCTGCAGGACTGGGAGAATCCAGCAGCAGCCTTCCTGGAGGTTCTGTGCACTTCAGGGCAAGATGAGAAACATAAATCAGAGATGTGGAAAGAGAAAAACCTTCCCCAGCCATTTGTGTCCTGGGCTAGGCTTTGTACAAAGTGTGGTGGTTCTCAGTGCAACCAGCTTGTTTGATAGCTGGAACATTCCTGTCCCTTCTGCCATGGGATCAGTGCTCCCTGTGGCCCAGCTTGTCCTGCTGTGTGTGACCTCAGCTCCATTAGCCTGGGGTTAGAGCACTGCTTGGCTTAGCAAGAGACTTTGGGGCATAGTGTATTGTAGACAAGTTGCAGGAGCTGTAGATACAAACCTGATGGTGACTTGGTGGTGATTTAGTCCTACCCAGTTGTTCCACCAGCCCCCAGGTTTTTCTCTCATCATAAAAAGCACTGGTGGCACTGTAGACCTTCCCCAAATGTACAAACACTGCAGAGTGCATCTCATGTGCTTGTTGTCCTGTGTTCAACCACCCAGACCCCTTGTCCCTGACTTTGGCTGAGATGTGTGTCTTTGTTTGTGAAATGTTTTCCTCCTTTAGTTGTGCAGAGCAGTGGTTCCCTTCTGGAGCTTGGATGAATCCCCTGTGACCCCAGGCTCTCAGACAAGCCCAGCCTGAGTACATTCCCTGGGGCTCCAGGCAGAACAGTGGGAGGAAGGGAGGGATGCTTTTGGAAGGCTCACAGGCCAGGGATTGTGCCTCAGTGTAGCAGTAAGAAAGCAGAACCCAGTCCCCTGAGACATGGCAGTGGAAGTTTTCTGTGCAAATGGTTTTTTTCCCTCAAGCCTGTGGGGTATCCACACAGGAGAAGGAGATCCTTGTGACAGCCCAAGCAGAATCAGCCCAGCAGTTACCCCAACATCTCATCCTTGGGGCAGGGAATGCCCTAGCTGCTTCTCCTGCAGCAGTGAGCCCCATGGGGGACCTTGGCTTTTCCCATCCCTCTCCCTGAGCTGTGGAGGTGGGAATGCTGGCTCAGAAGGGTCCTCTTAGGAGTGTTTTGTTGGGATCAGCAATATTGGCTGGCCAACCAGGCAGCGCAGCTCCTAAGATCAAATACTGTGGAACTTGAATCCTTCGTCAGAGGCACTGAGCTCTCTCCATAAGGCTTTCCATGCCTGATCCAGTGATCTTCAGTCTGTCAAACCAAATGCGGTGCCAAGCAGGTTCTGAAATATTTCAGGCTGTAAAATCCTGAAGCTGGATCTGCTGCCTTTTTCTCTGACTTGGGGCTTGACATCACGCTGGAATTCCATCCTGATTATCTGCAGTAGCCTTGGCTGACAGGGCAAGGAGCTTGTAATGCTCAAGTGGAGGAAAACTCAGGATTTGGTGCTTATATCCTACCACAGTTTCCCTCCAAACCACTGGGCTTGATGGGCCTTGGCAGAACCACAGTCAGGCCTTGTGATGGATGAGGAGATTCAGAGCAGGAGCTGAGCAGACAGCAAGGGGCCACTTGATCTCAGGCTGGTGTAACTCTGCACTGGTGACACAGGGAGATGAGCCACCTGTTTCATAAGCCCCCAAACAACTGCATGTGCAGTGGAGCAAGCCTGCAGCTGACCCAGTGGGCACCACAAGCCCCGGGGTTCTTGGTAGCAGCTTGAACAGCTGATGGTTCTGCAGTGCCTGTAAATGCCTTGGTGAGCAGAGGCCTCTGAGCCTTGTGTCTCACCTGTGTTGCCCAGCCTGCCACAAAGGCAATGCAGATTCCAGCTCCACTGTCACATTTTCTTTTCACCACCTGTCATAGAACAGCTGCTTCCCCATGAGTTTTCCTGGTGGCATTGAGTGAGGGAAATTTAAGAGGATCTGAAAGTTGCAGGTCAACATTATATGTATTCAGTGTTTCTATGTTTTTGTTGGTTTGCTTGTAAGTGCCATCACTTGTCCTTAATTTTTGTTAATTGCAAGCATATGTTTGTCTCAAGTCACTGCTTGACTCACCTCTTGTTTCCCCTCACCCTCCCCTCTCCTGTGCCTGGTTTCTGTGACCCCTCCCTGCCTGTTCAGGGTGCTTCAGGTTTAGACGGCAGGCCTGGACCAGCGGTGAGTTCCACTTCTCTGTTACCCCATGTTTGTCCTCCCCACCGTCGTCACTCGTGTTGTGTCTTCCACCCAAGTCTTGTTTATACCAGCAATAATCTTATTTTTACCAAAGCAGGCCTGGGAGGGAGTTAAACTTTAAATGAGGAGTGATATCACACACTTGTTGTCTTTGATGCTACCAGTGTGGATGCTGGGATCACAGCCTGCTTGTTCCACTCTGTCTCAGGAGCAAGAGGAATGAAACCTCTGCATGATTTCATGATGCTCCAGCCTGTCATTCTCCAGGAGATGGGAGAGGGGCTCATCATCAGCAACTGTAGTCGCAGCACAAGGGGGAATGGCTTCAAAATGCAAGATTCAGTGGGTTTAGGTTGGATAGGAGGAAAAAGTTCTTTACTGTGAGGCCCTGGCACAGGTTGTCCAGAGAAGCTGTGGCTGCCTCTCCCCTGGAAGTGTTCAGGGGCAGGTTTGACAAGCAGCCTGGTTTGGAGCAGCCTGGTCTGGTGAAGGATGTCCCTGTTCATGCAAGGGGAGGGGGTTGGAATGAGATGATCTTCAAGGCCCCTTCCAATCTAAACCATTCTGTGATTCTAAGTAATGCCAACCTGGTTCTGCAAACCACTCAGCTATTCTTGGGTAACAGCTGTTAAATAACAGCCAAATATTTTTAATCCCTCTTGGGAAATCACAGGTCACCCATGCACAATCCACTTGGCTATTTAAAAACAAAAAGCAATTTCTCATCCTCAGTGTAGCTGGGAATAATTTCAGCTGCTCTGACTGCTGAGGAGAATCTGAGTGGCAGCTTATAGAGTCACTTATTTGGGGAAACTGTACATACAATTTTATGGATGTGCAGGGGAGATTTCAGTGTATTCCTTAGCAGTAAATGATGCATAAATGAAGGCAGTTAAGATTTCCACAACTGCATGGATCTAAGGAGAGCCTGGTTGTTCTCTCTGCCACACTGAAGTTGTGTGCTGCATGAGCCACTCTTCAACTTGTGTTCTGTGGATCTGGACTTCTCTGGAGAGCTCTCCTGATCCACGTGAGCTGTCCTGCTCTCATCAGAGGGGTTCCTTTAGTGACTAAGCATTGCAGACTGACATTAAAATGTACAAGACCTTTTGCTTTAAGGCTTTTAGAAAAAGACTCTCTCTCTTGGGAAGTTTTCTCCTTGGTTCTTCCTAGAAGTCAGGGAGTGTGCCTCAAAAGTATCCCTTTATTGAGGCTCCATGAGGGAATTGTAGATCCATACCTTTGTGGTTCAAGGAGTGTGAGTTGGAGGTGCTGGAATCCTGTTCTTAGCCAGAGGGGTATTACTGAACAACCATGCTGCCAGCATTAAAGATGGCTTTGACTGATTTCCCAGAGGCCAGGAGAGTCTCAGGAGCACCAGCAAGGAGGTTTGGTGTGCTGGTGGGAGATGGGCTCTGTGTCAAAGGCTCAGGAAAAACACTGGGCTTTGCTGTCAGCATGGCTGGGAGCCTGGGGGAGTGACAGGAATGGCAAAGGAGGAGCAGAGGGACAGGAGGATGCCCCTCCCAGCTCTCACCTGTGCCTGTACACACCTGCATCCAGCTCTGCAGCGTGGGCTCTGCCAGCTGGCATGAACCACCAACCCAACACTTCCCATCCCCTCAGCTACTCAGGGAGGGGGTAGAGAAAATAGGGAAATAAGCAAAAAGAAAAGCAAAATGTTTATCATGTGTGTAAATGGCCTTTATTCTGCTACAGCTTTCAGCCTTGTCTGGTATAGCCCAGAAAGAAAGAAAGAATTCCTGTTTGTGGAGCTGGCAGAAATGCCTGCTGAAATCATTGTCAGGAGAGAGCTTCAGAAGTACAAATGAGGCTCTGGAAGTGGTGCTGCTGTGATGTAACACAGCAGTTCCCATGTTCCTCAAATTGCCTTGCCAGCTGAAAGCTGTAGTGCTGCTAGGTGCCTTCCTCCACCAGCCTGTGCCTTTCCTAAGGGAGCAGCAGTGTCTCCTGGCTTTTAGGAGGCCTGAAATAAAAGCATCCTGATGTGATTTCCTTCCTACAACTGCAGGGTATTCCAGGACCAATTGGGGCTTCGGGACCAGCAGGACCAAAAGGAGAGAGGGTGAGTTTTGTTCAGAACTGTCAGATGCTCTAGAACTTCTCTGAAAATACAACAGCTCTGGGGGATAGAGGAGCTCCAGGCTTTTCCAGAGCTGGAATTGCCCTCTCCTTGCTCATACAAGAGCCTCAGCTGGGCCTCTTTGGTGCTTCAGTATCTCAACCTTGGGGGGTTTCAGGTGCTTTGGAGTGCATCCTTTGCTTTTTCTTCTATGGTGCTCTGCTGCCTCTTTGTACTAAATAGGAATGTGAACAGTTTCTACTCTTTTGTATCCATTTCAGGGCAGTAAAGGAGACCCTGGAGTTGCAGGACCAATGGGGCCAGCAGGGCTTCCTGTAAGTATGGAAATCCTTGGGATTTACCTCCTGAGCCTGTTTGCTTGCTGTGCTTGACAGCTGAAGATGTTCTGTGACAGTGTTTGCAGCCACAGCTGGGTTAGCTGTAACTCAGGTTACAGCATTGTGTTCACTATGGGAGTGACAGAAAAAGCTGAGGAGCTTCAGAGCAGACTCAGAGTGATGTGGAGGAGGCTGAAAGGAAATTGTAAATTCACCTTGGTCCTTGAACTACCTAAAGAAGCTGTGTGGGACTCCCAGGATGTGTCTCAGTCCAAAATGCTGCTTTTGAGCAGGTCCTTTACCTTTCACAGCCTGGGTGTCTGGCTCCTGTCTGAGAGAGCCCTGTGTTGTCACTGCAAAAGGGACAAAAGCTACCTTCAGTGAGGTTAATTCCACTGTCTGGGGTTGCTTTTGACAAAATGGGGTTGGTGCTGTGGTCTCATGCAGTCATGGAGTGGCTTTGTTGTTTACCACAAAAAGAAGTTTGTTGCATGCTCATAACTAATTTGTTTCTTATCTGAGGAGTCCACAGGGTAGGCAGTGGTGGTGTTACCACCTGCATGGTCTGATGGAGGTGAAGAGGAGGTTGCCTGTCAGAAAAATTGTGTTTATTTTTGACATAGCCATTGGTAGAAATGGGAAAAAAAAAGCCAAAATCCTGAGCGCACATTCATCTCTTTAGTGGGAACATGGTGAAATCTGCTTGTTTTGAAATGTCTCTTTCTGTGTTGCTGCATTTCAGGGTTTACAAGGTCTACCTGGTGACAAGGGAGTCCGGGTAAGTTCCCAGCACACTTTGTGTTTCACTGCTAACACCTGAACTCAGTGACAGCCCAGTGAACTCATGTGGCAGCAGCATGGTTTGTGTGCCACACCTTCACCCAGTCCCTTTGCACACCTGTGCTTCAGGTGTGAGACCTGTAGCTCATTCCATCACCTGGAACGTTGGCCTACACCTCGCTAAAGGCTCTAGAGGGATTTTCTGATGTGCTCCTTGTGGTCACACCTCTGTTCTGACTGAAGCACAGGATTTGGTTAGGCCAGCATGGTGTGCCTTAGGAAATCCTGCTTACCTAGTTCCTGATGGATAATAGGGATTCCTGGGACAATCAGCTGAGGCGCAGCCAGGAAATCTTATTGCAGTACTTCTAAATTGTCCCTAAAGCATGAAAAAGAAGGTTGTCTTCTAACAAACAATCCTGCAGAGAATTTGAAAGATGGAAATTTTGAAAAGATAAATTAAATTTGCCTGTCTTGAAGAATCAGGCCTGAAGTCTCCTCAGGCATTGTCCTGATGTGGTGGTGAAGGGCTGGGTCAAACCCAGTGACAGGAATGGCACCTTTCCCATTGTACCACCAGTATTATGGAAAGATAAACATTACTAAGTGTCTGTTGAGAAGCTCCTTCTTTTTCATCCAGTTTTCTTGCCTGTTAAGTCCTTGAATCTGGATCTTTTTGATAAAAACATTTAAGAACTGTGGTTGGATATAATATATATTTAGAAATATAAATTACTTTTGCATTTGAGACTGTAATATTACAATTGTATAAATGTCAAGAGGTTCAGTACAGTACAAGTGTGTGTAGCCACACCTTTTATTCCTAAGACTCTGACACCATCTAAATTTATCTGGAGGTGTAATTTTTATAGTGCATGTGCCCATGTGATGATTTCATTATACGGATTTGCTTTTGATATGTAGTGAGTGTTCTCTGTCCTCTGTCTGCAATGGGTTTCTGACCTTCCTCTGCACAGAAAGGACAGTTCTGGACAGCACCAAGCCAACTGGCATCTTAAACTAGGGGAGAAAGGTTCAAGTGTCATGGAAGCACCAAAGTTCTCCCCTTTTTTAATCATTGCATTTCTGGCTTTGCTTCTTAACTTTCACTTCACTTTTGTTTTGCGTGTGTGGCTTCTTCTAAAAAACTGTCATTTTTAATTCCTAGACTTTTTCAGTTGGTTTTGGAACTGAGTGCCTTAGTTAAAAGAAGGCTCTTTCATTAATGGGATTTCTCTGAGCTCTGGCATAACCAGCAAGTGAGAACTGGGAGAAATTGCAGCTCCTTGTAGAGGATGAGCTGGGAAGCACGAGTGGGGAGTTCTGCTGGCATGGCTGCACTCTGCTTTACTGCAGTTTGCAATGGCAGAGTGAGATTCAGGAGTGTGAATGGGCAAGTGCAATATCTTAGGGGACCCTAGAGAGTACCCCTTTTGCCACTGAGCCTTTGTACAGGGATGTTTCCTACTCTGAAGTCCCAGTTTGCCAAAAGCCTCTCTTTTCCTCCATGCTTTTTAAATCCCAGAAATGCTCCTGCTGCTCTCTCTTGGAGCAGGAGATAGCATGGCTGTGCCTGGGCTGTGGCACTAATGGCAGTGGGGACAGCCAGCATTTTGTGAAAGCCAGCTGAAAAAGTGGGAGCCCTGAACTTGTCCTGCTGTTATTTTAATACTGGGGGGTTTGTGTGTGTTTGTGCATCTTCCTTGCTCCTACAGGTCCACCTTTGTCCCCTTTATCCCTTCCTCCTCTTCCACCTTTCTTCCTGGTTCCTTCCTCCAGAGCAACCCATGCTGCATTTTTCCTGGATTATCCTCTCCATTCCAGTGCTTGGTTCTGGGTGACTTCTCCTCATTGCCTCTCCTCTCCCGTCCATTTCTCTTGCCAGCTTTGGGTTTAACACTTGATTTTTTAAAGAAGCAGCAGCCTGTGCTGTCTGATTTTATCCCTTAATTCCTTTAACACGAGGACCCTAAGCTCAGTTCCCTGTGCAACAGCCCCTTCCCCTGTTGGATGCTCAGCAGCTTTGAGAATTTCCTGTTACACAGAAGGATTGGTGTGGATGTTACTGGCAAATGCCACCCTATGCCCTGCCTTGTGCTGCCAGTTAAGGATCAGGGACCTGTGGCTGTGCTGCCTAGGACTGCTCCCTGGTCTAAGAGGTTTTTTGGGAGAGCGCTACTCAGATCATCCCAAAGGACAGCCAGACTGTGCAGACTCAGAGCTGAGCACTTCCTTCATTCCCCGGCTGACAGTTCCCTGAGTGCGGCTTTCTGTCAGAATGGGAATTCAGAGGAGTACAAAAGCCTCCCAGTGCTATCCCAGAGCAAGAGGGACCTTCCCAGGCAGCTGGAGATGGAGATAATGTGGCACAATACTGGCCAGAGGGGTGGTTTCCATCCTGTTTTCCCATCCAAGGTACCCTCTGTGATGTGTGGGAAGCCCTGGGATCCCTTTGGTGCTGAGCCCTGGCCATGTGGGACTGCAGCCACAGCCACAGTGTTTATGCAGCTCCAAACATTGATCTTCACATCTCAGAGGGAGATTGATTTAAAAAATGTTTCCTAAATGTTTATCCTTTTTTAAACTCTCGCTGACATTTGTTTGAAATGGATGATCCTAAAGCTTTTGTGTATTCTTTTTTTCTCGGACTAAACTATTATTTACAGGGGGAGAGGGGCAAGAAAGGCTCTAGAGGGTCTAAAGGGGATAAGGGAGACCAAGGAGCACCTGGATTAGATGCACCCTGTCCGTTGGTATGTCCTGTTTCATCAAATGTATTGTTTTAAGATGTGTTGATGGGGAAGACAGAAGGAAATCATAACACAAATAATGGTCATGCAAAAGTACAACATTTGGATAAGCCCAGCTGGGTTCCCAGCACAGCCTGTGGGACCAAGTGATCCTCTGAGACATCAGGCTGCTGAGTGACTGTGGTTATGTTCCTTCCTCTTCCAGACAAGGTTTGGGTACGTGGGTGTGCCATGTGCTGGGAGCTCAGGGCTCTCTCCACTGTGGATACAGCCCTGTCTCCCTTGCTGCTGGTTCCAGCTCTTCTCTGGAGATGCTCCATGGGATCAAAGCTGCCTGACAGCAAAACTGCAATGCTGGTTCCTTGCCTTGGAATAGCAGCCAGCTGATGTGGTGGCCTGAGAGCACACAGGGCACTTGAGCTGCACTACCCAGAGCAAAAACAAGTCTCAGTTACCCTCAATGGGATGTTTCTGTCAAAACAGATTGGCTGTAAGTCTAGACAAGTAAATAAATACGGGAATATGTGTACATTTTAATCTAAATTCATATGCTGCAGCAAACACTGCCAGAAATCTGCTAGCAGTGCCACAGATTCTAGGAGTACTTGGGCATCATTCTTTTAGAAATCCAGCTGCTGGGTTTCTCAGTGAGGATGGGAGGAATGGCTGATTTTGGAACGGAGGAAACACCATTCCCACCCTCTCGGAGAAGCATCTCGTGGCTCACAGATGACAGAAACTGCTGCTGCTGCACAGCCCAGCGTGCAGACAGGGCTCAGTGTGGGTGTGCAGCTGAGTGCCCCAGCTGTGCCAGGCCCAGCAGGCACTCAGCCTCTCCTCCTGGGGCGTGGAGCTGCCTGGCACTGACTGAAATAACGATAGTGGTTGATTTCGTGAACAGGGTCTGCGAGGTTTTAAAGGCGAGAAGGGTGAGCCGGGGTTACCTGGGCTGGACGGCCTGGATGCCCCATGCCCATTGGTATGGTGTACCTTCCCTTTCCTGCATGCTCGTTTGCTTTTGGCCTCTTGCTGCTATTTCTGATCCTCCCAAACAGCTGCATGCCCTGGAAACACTGGCAGTTCCTTCCTTACCTGCCTCCAGACTCCCTCCCTCTCATTGCTGCTGTCAGAACCAGGCCCTTCCCTTCATTGCTGTCAGCAGCACTTTGTGGCATGAGGAAAATAGAGTTGGAATGTGGTTTTATTTACAACAGCTTCACTTCTTCCTTTGCCTTCCTTTGACAATTTCCAGTAAACCAGTGTATGCAGGCCCAGCTCTGTGCTGGCTTGGCTTCCTCATAAGGAGCTGCAGTGCTTGTGTCCTTCATTAACTCTGTTTTTAATTGCTTGTGTGTGTTGAGCACAGCCTGACATGGTTCTGGATGACCTCAGTCACCCCATACATGAAGGTGACTGAAAAGAATAGTTATCCCATTAGCAAGCCCATGTGACACACATTAATAGGGACACTTAACTTCCCTGCTGGACCATTCCTATTTATGACTCTCCCCAAATGTCTAAATTGTACCCACAGCATCCAAAAACCTTGAATTTAGAATTGCCTGTTTCCCAATATCCATCTTATTCAAGTAATAAAATGATTATTGTATTAGTGCCTGATCTAGCCCAACTGTTGTAGGACAAAAGTATTCAGAAACACTTAACCCCAAGTGATTTCTTAGTATCCCAATAAATTTATTCATTTTCTCTGAGTTTTCTGGAGATGCAGCATTCAGGTGACGTTTTTGCTCTCTGAGAGAGTTTCAGCATCTCCATAATACAAAGAAACTTCTACTCCCCTGCCCATCCAGCCCTGTTTGGCATGACAAGGTTTGCTAGAGGATGGTCTTTCCAAGCCTTATGCTCACTTAAGGAGGTTTGAAGCCATCTGCAAGGGATGGGACTTGTTAGTTCAACTAGCTGGGAAAATGCATCCCAAAGCAAAAAGCCACATTTAGTTTAAAAGATTTTCCTAGTTTCTTGAGGGAAAAAAAAAAAAAAAAGCACCATGAAATTGCCATTAAAAGCCTTTGTTATTTGAGCTTTGTGAAGAGCTAATATAATTTTCCTTCCAGTGTTCCCTCCTTTGAGTGCTGTCCTTGCCTCTCTGGGACAGTGACCACTCACAGTCTCAGTTGCTGCCCTGTAAATTCTGGATAGTTGAAGCTTGTGCCAGTGCCTCAGGTGAAACCATCCCTGCCCAGAACGGTGCTCCAAGGAGGAAGACCACAGAGCCATGTGTTTTGTGTCCCAGTGATCACAGCCAGGCTTCTGTGGAGTAGAAGCTTCTGGCTAAGGCACCTAATTTCACAGGTGCAAGAACTCTACCAGTGCCCTAGCAGGTGACATTTCTGGTTTTGTCACTGCTCCCCATGAGGATTCACCCCACATGGCCATATTAGAGCTCACACTTGCTTTCATACCTATTTTCATTAAGGGAAACTTGCCAGAAAATCTGATGAAGTGTGGATGCTGTTATTTTTTATACACGGTGTGCTGGCATGCAAGCTTGGGAACGTGAATAAGCATGTTTTTTGATCCAACTAGGTTAAAAGCTTGGCATCCAGCTGACACATCCATGTGTGTAGCTCATGGAGGCTGTGAACTAATTCTTGGCACGTGTGAGATGTGTGCAAGGAGATCCTTGGTACTAACAAGCACCTCATGTTTCCGTTCTCGGCACATTGGCCCGCAACAAACACTTCCTTGTGACCCTGGTGTTCCTTTGATCCCTGAGCTGTGGCTCCCTGGCCTCCCATTCCTTCATACACCTAACTGCCATCTCCTCCTGCCATGCACTGTACCAGCCATTCCTGTCACCACCAGTGTACCAATGGGAGCACCACCATTTACCCAGTAAATAACTTGGAATTCTGTATTTCCACATAGTTGGGGCAAAGGGAGGAAACAGCACAAGGAGACCAAAGTCCAAAAAATGCATTTGAAAAGCAATATTGTTATAACATCATGGCAGTGTTCAGTACATCAGCCCCCTGGAAGTGCATCTCCAGCAAATAGTTCATTTCTCAATATATTACTGTGCATTTGCTTTTCTGTTTGTATTTTTTTGGGTTTCCTGGGGAAAAGTGATAGACCATGAATCTGCCATGTGCATACAGCACAAGAATTTGACTTCTTGTGTTAGACACGTATTTCCTTTCACCTGACTCTGTCTGCTGCTCCAGAGCACCTTAGCACTGGTGTCATACCCAGCCCATCAAAGAGGGCTGCACAGGGTTGAAATGATGGCAGTAATCTACAAAAGCATTTCCCAACCATGGAGCCCGAGACATCAAGGGTGCAAAAGTGCCAGGGGATTTCCACAGAAATCCCACTGATGTTTTTGAAGCCAAAGTCCCTTTTCAGGGAATCAGCTGGGACATCCTGAACCAGCAGAGGGGCTGCCCTGATTTCCCTGGAGCAGGATCTGCCCAGAGGCAAGAGGGGATAATTGGGCAGTGTCTCACATGACAAAGCAAACCCTTTAACAGGACAGGAAGGAAATGGAGATTTTTTTCTAGACCCTCCTCAGTGTCTGAGGTTAGTGCTGACTCTGAGACTGGCTTTTAAGCTCAGTGTTGCAGAGCCAAGCCTGAGGACACAGAGCAGCCACCTCTCACTTTGCTGTTTATCTGGCTGAGTTGGACCTCCTGTGTTCATTCTCTTCTTCCTTCAAGGAAGCCTGGCTGGACTCCTTTCTTAGGGGAGGGTGGTTCTGAGGTACCCAAGTCCCTTGCACAGCCTGCAGGCATTTCCCCTCTTCACCCCAGCCCCTGCTTCAGGCTGCACTGCTTGTGCCAGCCAGCAGTCTGGGTCATCTGAAGGATGAGGAATATCTCTGACTATTCCTCCAGCCCAGGTTCAAACTGTTTGTTGCAGTAACAGTTAACACATGCTGTCCTTTCTCCATCTCTGTGCTACTTTCTGTGTCCTAAACTGCTATTTCATCCATCTTTTCCACAGGGAGAAGATGGCCTTCCAGTTCAAGGCTGCTGGAATAAGGTAATTTGGAAATGTTGCTGTGCTGAGTTGGCAGTGCCACGGCTCCTGCTTACGTTTTCCATGAATCTGCCTAAGGGCAGAGGAGGTGTGGATGCATGGATGGGATTTCCAGGACTGTATCCCAAAAAAGAGGCAACCAAAACTCCTCCTTATTTAAATATCACAGCTCAGCTCTGTAGGCTACAAGGAGAGAACTGTACCTGTGGCCTTTGAGCTGCCTGCCCCAGAGTGCTCTAATCCTTGCACAAAGATGAGATTTCCTGCTGGGTTCTCTCAGACCCCCCCTGCACTCCCCAGGGTCTGACCCACATTCAGGAAAGGTGGAAAAGGATCCCTGATGAGATCCATCAGAGCTGCTTTTCCTCCTGGACAGCCCAGAGCCAGCTTCCCTAACAGCGTCCTTGCCCCTGTGAGCTGTCACTAACACTTGTTTATGTTTTCTTTTGCAGTGATGATTCTAACCCTGGACTGACCTGTGTGTGTTACTGTACATAGAATATTTATTTTTATACGGTGTTCTTCTCTGAAATGCCAAAAGTTATGCATTTTTACAAATTATCAAAAAGTGGCATATTTTTTTGTACAGAAAATACTAGATCTCCCTTTTTCCCCATTTGTCAGTTCTCTGTATGATTCTATGTCTGCATTACGCTTGTTTTGTCATGGAGTACAGCTGTAATATTTACATGATATTTGTGCACACATGATGAATATAGGAACTTTAATAAATTATTGCATTTAAAGTGCCCAAAGGAACTGCCCTGTATAGATTTAAAGGTCATTTTCATTTTTCAAGCTGGATAATTCAAGAATATTTCAAAATATTATGTATTTTTTATTAAAGTGAAATATTAACACTTCTGTTGTGATGAATTAAAGTGTTGCTGAAAAGCCTCCTAGTGGTCCCTGTGCACTGGGAATGTAGAGACACCATGATTTACAATTATCCTCCCATGACCTGGAATAACCCTGATGACAAGGAGCCCTGGTTGGCAAGAAATTCTCATCCCTTTCTAAATTGTAGACTTTCAAACAGCTTAATTAAAGCCTTATTTCAAATTAAGCATAACACAGCATACCTTGATATCCTAACAAATGTTTGTAAAATCAATCCATGTGGCTTTTTAAAATGTTAACCAAAGGTCGCATGCAAATTTGCAGAGTGTGTAATTTTCATTTGCATATGCACATCTTAATTATCCTTCCTGACCTACCTTTGTTGAGGTCTCAAGTCTAAACTATGCAGAGAGCAAAATACTACCAGGCTAAAAGTGAGCATAACAGTGTGCTTTGCTTAGGGTGTGAGGGGAAAGGTGGGAGCCTAAATCTGTTCCCTAAAACACATCCACTTGCCTTGGCCCTTCAGAGAGGGGAAAAAGGCAGTGCAGGAGTCTCAGGGGAAGCTGCCAGTGTTTAATGATCCCAGAGGAGAAGCACAAGTGGTGATTTATTAGCGAGACTGATCCACTCAAGTCCTGCTCCCTATATTCACCTGTTCATCTCTTCACAAACTGTTATCAGGTAATTTTCCAGAGGATTCCAAGCAGCCTTTTAGCACCATCACAATAAAATGACAGAGTAAGGGATGTAGTTCCCTTGTACCCAGGGAAAGGGCTGCTGGGCCCTGCCCAAGGATCCCAGCCCTGCCTCTGACCGTTGCAATCCATCTGTCACTCGGCCTTTCAGAAATTTACTGAATTTCATCTGAAAACAGGGAGTTTTCCACTGCCCTGTGTCCTTTCCTCCTTTCCCTCCCTGCCCTGCAGGCTGTTCCGACTCCAGTGCCCTCACAGTTAGGAAACTCCTTGCAACTTTCGACCTAAACTAATTCATGGTATTTACAACCATTTGTTCTCAAGCCAACATTGTCCTTGGGATGAAACGTTTCCATGCATGATGTTTTCATGAGATGCTTGGTGTGCTGGAGCTGAAACGGCACAGAAAGAAAATAGACCAGAGAGCACTGAGGGATTCTCCCTGGTTTTCTCAGTAATAGATGTTGTTAATATGAGCCCCAGCTCCCTGTTTGAAGGCTTTGCAGCTGTGAAGCTAATTGGAACAGCTAATGGGCCAATTGCGTTTTAATTGCACACCTGTTAAAGCAGTTACTAAAGACCCAACCAGGTGTAGCTCTTGTGCTTTGGGTTTGGAAGGTTGGAGCAGCAGCAGTGAGTTCCTGCTCTGATCTTCATCTTGAAGGTAGGATGTCTGAATGCTTCAGTTCCTTCTACAAATCCTGGCTATTCTTAGTCCTTAAAAATACAGAGATGCCTAGGAGAAGCTGCCAATGCTTCCTGTTCCCTTTGCTCTGTGTAGCTGGTTTTTGTGATTGCACTGCATGGGATTGCTGTTGGTTGTTTTTATCTGATCCAAGAGCAAAGCAAGTACACATCTCCCACCTTGTCCTGACACAGCTCCTGAAAGGTTAAGGACTCTCAGGGTGATGCTGCACCTGTTTTATTTCTTGGGCTGTGTTTTGACTGCTCTATTTGTGAGAAAGGGGGAGGTGTAAGGGAGCTTGAATTGAAATTGCCAGAACTCTTGATAGTACCTGACTTAGGTCAGCAAAGACTTACCTACCACGGGGAAAATGTGTAAGGTACCCACTCATTTAAAGGTTGGGGAAATGGTGACAAATGTTCCCTGTGGCTGTGGCAGATTATAGCCTGGGTTCTTAACTGAAGTACCAGATAACCATTTTGGATTGCTGTTCCACAGCCCCAGTACTGACACAATCTCAGCAGCCCCTGGGGATAGACAAGAGAGCTCAAATCAGTGATGCTGCACTGACCTGCAGCTCTTACCAGACCTAAGCTCCTTACATGCCAAAAGAAACCCAAGCAGGGCAGCTGGGTTTGCACCACCCTGAGTGTGGCAATTTGTTTCAGGCTCTGTCCCTACTAAAACCTGTAAGCAGGCTGCTGTTGCTGTGGGTTCCTGTCCATTCTGCCTGTCTGTTTTCATGTGAAACCTTTTGTCTGCTACTTCAAGGGTCAAACTCCTTGGCTGATAGCCAGAAAGTGAGTCTGAGGGTGCAGAAGCTTGGAAAATGGCAGCAGAGGGAAAGGAGAAGGAGGACCTTCCTGAAGATTTGCTGGAGATGTTTTCAAGTTGCCTCCCTGGAGCTTGGGAAGAGTTCCTCAGCAGGGCACCAGGAATGTGTGCCCAGATGCTGGGTCTGCAGGAGATCGGCGTGCCAGCACTTTCTGCTTTGCTTTCTGGTTTCTCCCAGAGGCCAGTGGCAGGGGTTGAGAATGGCACCATTTATTTTCTTTTTCTTTGGTCATTTTCACTTCACTCCACTATTGTGGTCAGACTCTTCGGATGAAGAATTAGGCTCATTTTACAGCAGCAGCTGCATAAATGAGTGCAAGACATAGACAATATTTCTGGGAGGGGATCCTTTGATCCAAGAAAGAAATCCTTCTTGAAGATTGATCTTTAGAAAAGCAGAGAAACCCCAGAACTGTGCTCAGTTCAGAGTGCTGCTCAGAGAGGATGTGATAACACTTTTTGCTACCATTTCTGGTTACCAGGTGACACACTTCCACCTGTGTCATTGATGATTCCATCTTTAACCTTTTCATCACAAACTTTCTTCTCCCATTTAATTATAAGGAAATGACATTGGTTTGTTTGGGTTTTCTAAAACCATACTGGATTCTGAAGGCATGAAATGTGTTGTCAAGAAGAGAAAAATATGGAGTGTGGAAAAAGTCTGGTTTTACTGACTAATTCCTTTGCTTCCTGTACTTGTGCTTTGGTCTCCACTGCACCCTCTGGATGTACTTTGTCTGGAGCCCACCAGAAATGTTTTCTGCTGGCCCATAAAGGCCCTTTTGTGGGTACATCTCCACAGATGTACGTCCAGATGGAAAAGAAGGATTACAAAGGTTCAATTCCACTGTTACATGTTTTAATATGTTCACTAAAGGGCAATAACCATTTGGCAAAGTGCTGAGGGGTTCAGAGGACGTTTCCCAGCCTGAAGGGCAGAATATACAAACCTGGATACTTTCTGCCAGCTGCCATGCAAACCTGGCATCCTTTACTCAGCCCCCACTGCTGAAGGTTAGCATGTAAGCTCAAGTATCTTTCCACCGCAGCTCTTGCAATTTATTTTTAAAAACCCCAAATTTAAAATAAGTTCCTATCTTTTGAACGTGACAAACACCTCTACTTTGCTTGGGTGCATTGGGAATCCCGTTTGCCCAAGAACTAAACCACGTATTTAACTTGGAGGGAGTGATTCCCTGCTGGCCTAAAGGATGCCATTTACATATTGAAATACTTGGGTGAGCCAGGGCCATTGTCATTAGAGCTAATGAGTGATATTATCTCAATCGTTAGACAGATCCAAGTGCTAAGCGATTCACATTACAGCTGGGGAGAAAGTGCTGAGTTCAAGCTCAAAGGGATGCCATTAACCCAGAGCAATCCCAGATTCAAGCACTCTTTGTCAGCACGAGTGGAATCACTCTGATCTTCTGATAAGGACCCCTGTACCTGACACCCATCTCCTCTCTCCAATGCACAGAAAGTCTACTGTTAGAATAAGTCCAGGTTTGCAAGACTGGGGGAAAAGTCCTACTTTCATGTTCATCTGAAGAATTGCAGATTTTTTTTAAATGAGGTTTCTAATAGCTGTGTTCAGGAAATAGAGTAGTGGGGAAAGAAGTTGTTTCAGTTGAGAACCAGGCTGGTGGAAACATTAATTTATTTTATTTGGTTTTTTTTTAATTTTCATTTTTACTTTTTGGGGTGGGCGGAGGGAGAACCTGACCAGAACTGCAGGCAGTAGGGTGTGCGTTTTTCCTTATTTTTTTAATGAAAACCGTTATATATATAGTTTGATAATGTTACTTTTACTTTTTGTTAATGATTTTTGGGGGCAAATGGTTTGCTCTATTCTGTTTTCTTGTGTTTTCTTTTAGGTGTATTTTTAATGGGCTTTTGGAATAAGTGCATAGAAGTTCCTCACCCAAAATGTCCTAAGGACATTCCTGTCTTGTTTTTTCTCCCCAAGTTCAGTAGTGAAAAGGTGCTTTCTGTCGGCAAACGCGTTTTTGTGGGGATAAACATATCCCCAAAGGCCACACCTAGGGACCAGGTGCCAGTGACCTCTCCCAGACAAAAGGCTCCCTCCACAACGCTTCATTGACATTTACAAAGATCCAAAGGGCTACGTTAGGGACCAGCCGCTGGGAAATGGTCTCTGAAAGCCGTGAAGTCTGGCAACAGTCGCTGTGTCCTCTTCAGCAAAACCTTCCACAGCCTGGAATAGCAGGCTTGGCTAGAAAGAGCTGAAAATTTAAATGAGGAAAACGTTTATTTGAAGATGGCAAGTTCTTGGAGGGTACCTGCTCAAGTATCACTGTCTGTTGCTGTTGTTTTCCCTCCTCTGAATCCAGCAGCACACTCGGGTTCAAGCTTAGCTTTAGGCTGGGCTTCACCCTGAGCCTATGTGCAAATGCTGTGCTGGATGAAGGTCTCCCCTTCTTTTACACTTTGGGTTTTTTCTTCCATTCCCTTCTTTTTGTCCCTATATCTTCCAGATGTCTTTGATCCAGACAAAAGAACTGCTTTCTTTTGTGCGTTTGCAGAAAATCTCAGTTGGTCACGTTTGGATCATTTTCCACTCCCTGCTGTTATCTACCCTTCCTGCTGTCCTCCCTCCCTCCTTGTAGGCCTGCTTTGGTAAACATTTCATCTGATGAGAGCATCGTGACAAAACATGAACTAAGGTTGTAGA